TTGATGGACTATATCAAAGGCATAATCCTACATCAAATGCAATAGCCTTTTACTAACTTTTACTAATAATTAATAGTTAAATTGGTAGACATGTTGGCTTTAGAAATCTATACATATAATAACACTTGATTTGGTTTTGTTTTTTAGCATATTTGAAATTCATTTTGCTATGTTTGCCAATTCTAAAATTTTAACATATAGGTATGGATTTTATTCATTTTTATTTCTTAGATACAATCATCTTACCCGAATTGAAACTTTTATCTAATTTCTTCTCTAATCAGAAAGTGTAATTATAGAGGTTCTAATACAAGTTTTTTTTTTATTTGTTTGTTTAGATTCTTTGTTTTTACAAAGGAAATTGTGAGTTTCGTTACAATACAACAATCTGTTGACAAGATAATGGAGAATCTTAAATCTTAAGTCTGAGTCCTTTTACTGTTTATAGGGTTGTATTATGTTTGCATTGCTTTCTGTAGTTTGTGTCTTAGAAAGTGGTTCTCACTACATTGCTTTAGACATTTATTTCTTCTCTGTGAATTCTCCTTTTTCGACGACAACAAGGGCAACAAAATAACTCTTTTCCAACAACCTAAATGATAGGTAGAAAGTACCAACTAAAATTTCGCATAATGGAGAATAAGTATCTATTTAATCTTTTACAAAATAAACTAGGATGAATAATTAAAAATTCATCAAATTAATGCCTTTATCAATTCCGTCTCTATTGCTACCGGCGAGGATTAGATCCTATGGGTTGAAAACCTGGGTTGAAAGCCTGTGAAGGGGAAGGGTCAAAATAGGGATTGAGAATTAATTAAATAAAATTACGTAGGGTTGAGTCTTTAATTTATTTGTTTTTTCTTGTTGGAGTCAGAATTGATTTGTATCTATTTTTCTTTTATTAAAATATTTTAATAAATTTATAAAATAAACAATACTTTTAATGTACAATCTATCTTATAAAACATTTGTTTCTTATAATAAACTATAATTAACTTAGTGGTGGACCAGGTCTAGTCAAGGTAAAGTCAATATTAAAATCAATATCAATACATCTTCAATGGGATTGTACTATGTTTTCCCAGTTTCCCTTGTTTTCGCACAAGGAAATTTTGAGAGAATGTCTAAATTGTAATGCATCTTGCAAGCAATCCGACAGCGAAATGGTTGTTGTGTGGAAAAGAAAGCTGCCGTTATTCACCCAAGGATCCTCATTTCTTGGCCTAGTGGCTAAAACCTTTTAGTTAAGTGGGGATTACCTCTCATAGATTGCATATTTAACTCTCTCGTAGATTCCATTCTTTTTCTCTCAAATTGCCCTGTTCAAAAAAAGAAAAAAGAAAAAAAAAGAGAGAAAGATTCCCTCAGCCTTTCTACCTGCGAAGACGTATTGCTTCTGCTCCTGCATTCTTTTATCATATCTGGTAAGTTTGCAATACATCTGCACGGAACCGTTGCCGTAAACTCTAAAACCTTTGGTGTTCGGAAGACTATTAATAATATTTGCGGAGCGAGAAATTTCACTCTGGTGAAGTTTGCATTGTTAATATTACCATGTTCTATATTGTACATTCTGCACTGGTATAAAATTAATCTCCTTTGTGCTTCAAGGGGAAAACCATACAACATGGAAGACATAAATGGAGTTTTATACAAAACTTGAATTAAAAAATTAAGAAATGTAGGTTTGCCTTTCATCAGCACCCTTAAACATGAAATCAAGAACAGAAAGACAAAAAATGCGTACTCTGCATTGGGGGCGGACACACTTGGAAGAGCATTTGT